AAAAAAATCTCACTGATGATTTAGAAGTCTCAAAACACAGTTTGCATCACATATGACACACTAGGCATTAACGGGTTAATAAAACATTACATGTTCAGCTAAACTCCACTGAACACAGTGAAGGTTTGTTCAATAATCAGATGATAAAAGAGAGTTAGCGTTTCTTCTTTCCAGAGATGTGTTCTAGAAAAGACGAAGGTCATTCGAATGCTAGTAAGTGAGTGTCACCACTATTTTAACTGCAGGAAGTGCAGATTTGGTGATTCGTCAGCCCACAAGTCAGATGGATACCAGTAATCACTGACTCACAGTGCAACCACTGTTAAAGTTTTCATTGCTGTAAATCTGGGAGATGGAGGAGCAACGCTGATTATGAGACATTTTGGGGCTGTTGTCTTTGGACACAGGAACAAAAAACCCTAATGAATTAGAGAGTAGCTTCACGCTGTGGTGTACAATAGTTGTGCACTAAAAGTAGTTCTCTTTAATTGGTAAGTTTTTATAAGGGGAGATCCTGTTGTTTCTAAATGCAAGCAACCTACCACACCCTCAACTTTTTTTTATTAGTGGTTTTAAAATACCTCCTCCAGTCTTACCACATGCTAAAAGCGGACACACTAGAACAGTTCATCATGGCAGGGGTTTACAGTGGACCCACACACTGTTCTAATGCTTCATTAGTGTCTTGTGACTTACTTAAGCAGAGATGATAGAGTCTGTTAGTCACAGACCGGGAAAAAACATTATGATTAAATAATAAGAATATTTAAGTTAAAAACCCCTTCGTCTTTGTCAGCATCTGTTTGTGTGTTCTTTTTCTGAAACACTGAACAACAAGTTTTGTGACAACTGGTGCACACTGGAACCCCACCCAAGGGTTAAACAATAGTTTTTGGGACTCCTAGTTCCAGTTATAGAGAAGAATACCTGGCTACACTATAGTTAAACCGATGTAAGCTATTTAAACTTTCTATTCTTTCAATGGTCCTCTGGGAGTCTGCTACACCAAAGAAAGGCGTTTACACTCAATCAGATGTGACCTTTCATCTCCAGTGGATGTGTGTTTTTGTGTGCAAACATTATTGTGAGACAGACGTGGCTCCGTGCACACGGGCACCTCGTGTGTATATGAATAATGACCAGTCACTTCCTCTGTCTGTGTCTGATTGGGCCATCGTCTGTAAGGCTTCTACAGCCAAATCGAAGAGGATTTATATCCACACGCACATGCTGAACGCTCAGCCTGATAACAGCAGCACTCGCTGGCTTTCACTGGAGTTCCTGAGGAAGAAGCTGCCAGCATGTTTTTTATCAGATATTGAAGATATTAACATAAGAAAGTCTTTTTTAATACAATAGGTTTATGTAAGAGGAGTACTTACATAATCTGGTATATACTTGAAAGCAAAAATGGCTAAATTTAAAGTTCAGGGTGGCATAATTGTGTCTCTTTGTAAATAAGGTGGCTCAAACGGATTCAAATACCTTCTGCGTACACGTACAGCTTATCCGCAAACATCAAAGTGCAGTTTCAAAATTGCAGCAAGTCTGTCCAGCTGACAGTGAGGACAGTTTTAGTGGTCTCGTGCTTGAACACAGTTACAAACACCTATCTAATCTCCACAGCTCTGGCCCATATGTAACCAACACTCACACAGTCACTCATTCCATTTCTACTCTGCCTGCTATTTTTAGAAGCATGCTACATTAGCACTTAACACTCCATTGACAATGTGCAGTACAGTAAAAGTTTTGATAAGATCACTGATTTTCTTTCATCGTGCACCCACAGGCACGCATGACTGTTTTGGGTTTTTTTGTTCATAATATCCCCCCCCACCATTTTCTCCCTCTCATCCTTCTGTCCATTGTTTTCCCAAGCTGTTAAAATTCCTCGGCTGTGACCTGTTCCTCCCTTCACACCCTTTCTCCTCTTCCCCTCCCGTTTTTGTTTTCGCCTTATTTCTGTTCTCCTGTTTGATACTCGTTTCATGTTTCTGTCTGTCTATTACAGCTGATAGATGCGGACCGTCTTGTGTTCTTAAGTAGCCGACACTCTGCTCTTTCCTAAGCACGAAATACACTCAGACATTAAATGTGTGTGTGCAGACAGAGAGGTCTGACTAAACAAAGCAAGGGCACTTCAATCGGCAGGACCGCAAAAAGCTTCTTTCCCCCGTATCACGCCCCAGACCCCTCATCACACACACACACCACAACCACAGCCCAGAGCAGAGCCCACAGTCCCTCAGGGAGGGAGGAGGGGTCAGAAGGAGGGGAGGCACAAACGCCCCCTCACTTTTTAACGCTCCTAGCAAAGCTCTAGGAGAGGAGGAAACTTAACTTTACACACTTTCTCTCTGCCAGCACAAGCACATGCTTACAGATGGTGAGCACCCACCACCTCAGAACTTTCAGCTTCCCTGCGCCTGGGAGGATTTAAGATACACATATGTTTTGGAGTACGTCTAGAAGGAACTTTGCTTGCCCAGCTGGGTTTGGCTTCTTTGATGGTTGTCAAAGGATCGGAAAGGAGGCAAAAAGAAAGTGAGATCTCCAAAGTGAGATCATCCAGTGCTGGGATCCTCTGTGGACACGACTGCCTGGTCTGGACCTGATCATAGAGCTCCAGATTAGGTCCTCCTCTCTTACCAACTCCTCCTTTTCAGCCCCGATCCCCCCCCTCCTCCTTACCCATTGCGTTTTCTTTCAAAACAAATTGGAACATACAGTGAAGAGACCCGGCTGAAAGCTGCGCGGATTTAATGTGAAGCACGTTTTTTTCTGTGAGAAGTCCTGAAGAGTTTCTGTTTTTCCTAAATCTCAGGTGTTCCAATGGCGTCAATTGGAGAACCTCTACTTCAGAGAGAAGAAGTTTTCGGTGGAAGTTCATGACCCCAGGAGGTAAATTTATATCACAAACTGAAGCTGAGATTGATTTGATGCCGTTCTTTTCTAAGAAACCGTTTAATTATCAAGCATTCATGTCCTCTTTGTCCAGAAGTCCTCATTGGACGATCGTGATCTTAAATCAGTAAATGTAATGATGAATGTTCTTGCAATTGATCTGTGGTCTCAAGCCTAATATCTGGAACTCATAAAAGTCTTGCATCAGTTAAGAAATGCCTTCCAGTAGCTTTTACTGTAAATTACCACTGCGGCCCGAGTCAATATGTTGAGATTCAGATTCCATACTGCGCGGTACACGGAAAGAGAGATAGAATCTAATTGAGTAATGGCTGAAAAATTTGTCTTGGCAACAGTGCAAGATATTGAGGATGTCCTGGTGGAGCCCGCCACGGATTGAAAGGCTGATTATTAACACGCTCGTGCAGCCACATGCATGCAAAGAATACACGCGCTCTAGTGCTCGCGCACACAAACATGCACACATATATGTTAAACCCTTGGTAGTTGACCACAGAAGGATAGATGGCTGTGCGATAGCTCTTTTGCGGAGGAAGTGACCTCTCTTGTGTTTATTTAACATGGCTATATGTGTGGAGTGTTATTCCAATGACAGAGGCAGGGAGGGAATGGGAGAAAAAGAGACAGACAGGGTGAAGCAGAGAGCAGCGGTGTTTTCTTTAAAGGAAGCTGTCATTAGAGGGAGCTGGTCTGTTGCTCAGCTACAGATGTGTGTTTAAAAAAGGATGACTAAACAATGGGAAACATCGTGTGTGGCTTTGCAAAATGTATCTCTATCAGGACAGTTCTCCTCAGGCTTCAAAAGAAGCTCGCTCTCTAAGTAGCAGCACTAGTCACTGGAGCAGTCCAGTGGGAGTGTTTTCATTGCTGTAAACATGTAGCCATCTTTTTCATTCAGTGTATATAAGGAGGCTTTGTGTCCGCTCCTACTGTAGGGCGTCGGTAACGAGAAGGACGTTCGGTCACAGCGGCATTGCTGTGCATACCTGGTACGCCTGTCCTGCCCTCATCAAGTCCATCTGGGCCATGGCCATCAGCCAGCACCAGTTCTACCTGGACCGCAAACAGAGCAAGGTCAGTCTCTCCCACGACGTTTTAAGTCAAAGCGTACGATAGATCTCACGAAATAATTACAATTCTACAAGGCATGGTCAGCAGGAGTGGTGGGTTAACAGTTTACAGATGTGTTAACACAGCCTGTCCATGCTCATCCATACAGTCAAAGATCCATGCAGCGAGGAGTTTGAGCGAGATTGCCATAGACCTGACAGAAACAGGAACACTGAAGACATCCAAACTGGCCAACATGGGCAGCAAGGGCAAGATCATCAGTGGCAGCAGTGGCAGCCTGCTCTCCTCAGGTCAGTGCGTGTTTGCTGCTTCAGAGGAAAATAACCACGTGGGGGAAATACCCCGACAAAGATTTGTCTTTGTGCTCGCATCTGTTGATGATGAGGAATCCTGCTGACAACCGGAGAGACAGAAACAGCTGTGGCTGGAAAGAGACCAGCGTTTCTGTGTTGAATGTTCTCAAACATATACTGTGCTCACACCACACCCAGTGTCTTTCAGTATGTATAGAACACCACTCCCATGTCACACAGACTCATCCTCCAGAGGCCCCCGACTCCTCTAATTTTAGTGGGTGAGAGAATGAGAGGGGCAGAGGGTCAGCGAACAACTTCGCGTGGCCTTTAAAACAATGCTTATCGGTGCTGAACAAGTAACGAGTGTGACGGGAAGATTTGTAACACTAGCTAAAATTAGAGTTGGGAGGGAAAATGCCCTTTTACTCCCATACAGCCACATACAATGTGTTCCATGCCAGGAAATCAAGTGCAGCAATTCCATTGATGAGAAACACCAGTACTGTAACCTGATTCGCTACTACTGTATAAATCACTTTAAGTTGCATGCATTAGTCCAGCCAAGCATAATCTATGATTAGCATGTACGTAACTACACGGTCAGCTGTTTAAAGTATTTCACACTTTACTGAGTCAATTACTGTTGCCGGGGAAGAACGCAGTTCCCTTTCAGTATGCGTTGTCTGCTTGGGCTTGTCATTTCGCCATTGATCACCTCGGTTAGATTTACTCCCTCCTTCTGTTTCACCTCCACCTAGCCCTTGCTCTTCTCATATATCCCTTCCTAACCTTCCCCTATCCTCCTCTGCGTTCTTCTGTAGTTCTGTTCGCACCTCATATCATTCAGTGTTTCGTCATTTTGTCTATCTGTGTCTTGTCACTTCTTTTTGTGATTACAGTGTTGATTTCTTGATGACTAGGGTAGATCTTAGTCAAACAGCATGAACAGGAACTGTGACGCATCTGTGACACGTCTAAACGGGGCTTTCGAAATAGATCTAAATTGTAAAGTCTTCAGAAATCTTTCAACGTTCCTCCAAAATAGAAGAAACTCTTAATGTAATTTGGGTTTATCTAAGAATTATAGACAGCTGTTTATTTCTAACAAAAACATTTTCACCAGTACTTTTTAGTATTTGCGTGTCCATCTGTCCGTCATCCCCACATAAGGGGTCAATGAGAGAGCAAGAAACACAGTGTGACTGGGAGGGTATGAGTTGTTTTCAAACAAGACTGGCACCACCTCGGGGTCTTGGAGATGTGCGTCACCGACTTTGTCCTAAACTGCCCCTTCCTCCTTATCGAAACGTTCCACTCACTTCCTTGTAAACATCCTGCAAGACTAGCAGGTGCACAAGCTATTTCTCCCTCTGCTTCAGATTCTGCCTCGGAACAGTACTCTGACTCCTGTCTTCACTTTACGTGTTGTTTGCACCTTGCAGGCTCTCAGGAATCGGACAGCTCCCAGACGGCTAAGAAGGACATGCTGGCAGCGCTGAGGGCCAGACAGGAAGCTCTGGAGGAAACGCTAAAGCAGAGACTAGAGGAACTCAAGAGCATCTGCATACGGGAGGCGGTAAGCGAAAATAATTGTTTGAATTGGTGAATATTTTGAAAAAGCGTAAATCCTTTCTAATCTCATTTCAGTGGCCTCACACTTCCTACCTTCCTTCTCCTTAAATTTTTCCAGGAGTTGACTGGAAAGCTTCCAAAGGAATATCCACTGGATCCGGGAGAGGAGCCGCCAACTGTGAGACGGAAGATCGGTACCGCCTTCAAACTGGATGAGCAGAAAATTCTACCTAAGGGAGAGGTGAGGCCATAACTTCCATTTCTTTTACTGGCACCTTATCTCTCACTCCAGTCTCATACTCCCCAAATAAAAACATGAGCTCATTTAGCAGAGTCAGCATTTGAAATGAATACCTAATAGTATATGTATTTGGCCAAGTGGTGTAATGCAGCAGCTGGAATATGTCAGCGTTAATTAGTTTAGTGAGTTTATCTCCTCTTAAGCTAGCTGTAATGTTAATGGTCCGCACTGAACAGTAGTGCTGTTTAAGGGCTCTGTGTTATTCTGAGCAAATCAAGGGTTTCCTTAGGATTTAAATGAAGCTAATATACTCTACATATTACTCTCAAAATGTAGTGGGATGAGGATTCACATGATAATAAAGTAACCGATTCTATCAGAATTTAATTTTGAAGTAACAAAGAAAACTGAGAACCCTGAAAAGCCACAATCTGAGACATCTTGATCTTGTAAAGTAGCTTTGTCTCGCTGCCGGTTTTGTGCCACGGTTAGATTTTCCAGAGCAGCAGAACTTCTAAATATAGCCCGGCTGGTTTCTCACCACAGGAAGTGGTGATAGTAGGATTGTGTGTGCTCCTGCATGTGTGCAGGCATTCATGTGGGTGTGTTCCACAGAGGTTTGTGTGCTTTGAAAAGAATCCAGGGACACGATATCACAAAAGTGCATCGCAAGCACAAACGGTGTTTCTTGATCTACACGGAGCACCTTAAACTCGTAGACACACAGAAACAGAAGCCGCTCGGCTGTAGCGTAAAGCCACTGTTAGTGAGAGGGATTCTTCAGAAATGAGGTAGCCCACTATGAAGTCAACCCAAGTGAATACATCATTGTTCTGCCTCTGTGGAGACAAGTGAAATCATGTGTGTGCGCGCTCAGATGTCAGTGAAGGAATTACGTGCTAGATGGACACAGTGTGTCACAGGACTTTGTTTTCTTGTCATGTTCATGAGTTTTAACAGTAGAGGTATGTCTGTATACATTTTACTGTCCAGGCAACACACGCAGTATATATACAGTGCATTAAACAGAATATGTTTACTTTGTTCACCTGTTTGATTTGAGAAGTCTCAGGAGAGCTGTAGAAGAGGAGAGGACAGATTGATGGAGAGGCGTTATTACTGGGGACAGAGTGTCTCAATAGAGATTATCCAGTGGTGAGAAAATGCACGGCTGCAGCACAGATAAATGATTTCCGCAGTGTGTTTTCTCTGGCAAGGCTTTCTGTATGTGTATAACCGAACTACATTGCATGGGAGAGTTATTCTGAATCCGTGTCTGCAAACTAGAACTTGTTATTTTTGGATCATTCCTACATTTCTGTTGCTAAAAGCTGCGAGTGGATCCAGTAACTTAGTGCTTGTGTTACTCTAAGTTTGCAATCATGTTTGTGTATTTGCCAGGAAGAAGAACTTGAGCGTTTGGAGCGGGAGTTTGCCATTCAGTCACAGATTACCGAGGCAGCCAGGCGTCTCGCCAGCGATCCTCACGTAAGCAGTAAAAAGCTGAAGAAACAGAGGAAGACTTCTTATCTGAATGCACTGAAGAAGCTCCAGGAAATTGAGAACTCCATCAATGAGTACCGGGTCCGCTCTGGCAAGAAGCCTACGCAGAGAGCGTCGCTTATCATAGAAGGTACCAATAAACTGCCTGTTCACTTAGGGAAAATCAAATCGCTTTCATATCTATGTCATATCAATTTGCTGTAATTGCCACCACAGACAGCAATATTCTTATCTGTACTGTTATATAAACCCACCCATTGTATGGCGAGGCTAGTCATTTTCAGTATTTTTGCTATTGATATAATAAAGATCCGAAAACAATGACACTGACACAAAAGCTTTTAGATTTTGTAACCTCTTGTTTTTGTTTTTATGTCCCATAGAAGCCAATATTGGCTCTGAAGACAGCTCATTGTCTGATGCACTGGTCTTGGATGATGGTGAGTTTCCGTCCCTTGCCTTATTCCCATTGATAGCTGTGCTGTTCCTAATAATAATATAATGTCTAATCCAATCATTACTTTGTTTCAGATGATCCTCAAGTTACAGGTACCCCCACCTTCTCTCCAGTAGCTTCACCTCATAAGGGGCTCCCTCCAAGACCACCATCTCACAGTCGCCCCCCTCCACCGCAGTCCCTGGATGGCCTGCGACACCTGCACTACACACGCTCTGACTATGACAAATCCCCTATCAAACCCAAGATGTGGAGCGAATCATCACTGGATGAGCCCTATGAGAAAGTCAAGAAACGCTCATCTCACTCGAGGTATGAGTGAGTTTGCCTTTAAATTTGTAATATAGCAATGTGATCTCTTGCTATATTTAATCAGAGTTAGACAACAAGTAGTTCATTCAAGTTACTGTTAGAGGAGTGTGTGTGCAAGAAGTATAATTGCAGAGAGGAACTGCAGCCAGCAAATGTAGAAAGTCAGTGGATGCTGATGATAATAATTGCATTTATTTTGAATGTAACTTATTAACTTCTGTCTAGTCACAGGCGTTTCCCGAGTTCGGGCAGTGCAGAAGCAGGGGGTAGTAATTCTCTGCAGAGCAGCCCCATTAGGAACCTTCCTCACTGGAATTCTCAGTCCAGCATGCCATCAACTCCGGACCTGAGGACCAGGACCCCGCACTATGTACATTCCACCAGGTCAGTTGATATACCTTCGTTTCCTGGCAGGTAAACTGACTAAGCCTTGTTTCCCAACTGGAAATAAGCCATTGGACCTCTTCACTTTAGCTCTCCTTTGCTGCTCTTTCTATTTTTCCATTTACTTAACTAGAAATTACAGCAGTTTCTGTGTTAAATAAGTTAGTAGATTTTTAAGCCCAGTCTTTACACTTAGTATTTCTGCCAACTCTCACAGGTCAGTGGACATCAGTCCCACCCGTCTGCACAGTCTTTCTCAGCACTTTAGGAACCGCAGCTCCAGCCTTGAGTCCCAGGGCAAACTGCTGGCATCCGATTCCGACGCACATCCGCACACCCTGGGCAGCCCTGACTTCTTCCTCGGCCCAGGACGCAGCTCCAATGGCTCCGACCCACTGGATGACTGTTCATCCTGCACCAGCCAAAGCAGCTCGGAGCATTATTACCCGTCTGGAGGACCCCCTGGCAGTAACCCAAATTACTCTACTCTGGGAGAAGATTCACCCTCCAAAGCCAGGCAGAGGCAGAGGCAAAGACACAGGTAAGAGCAGGGAAATATACAGTGGGGCAAAAAAGTATTTAGTCAGCCACCGATTGTGCAAGTTCCCCCACTTAAAATGATGACAGAGGTCAGTAATTTGCACCAGAGGTACAC